CCCAAACCATCGACTTGCTCGGAGTTCTCCTCTTGTAAAGTTGGGCAAGAATCTGTGGGATGCCCTTGTGTTGAACAGATGCCGCAGACCTTGACTTCTTGGGTTTTTGGATTCAAAAGGAAATCTTTAACCAAAGAAGTCAAGCCGGCTACTTGACTCTCCAACGAGTTGTTGGATTCCGCTGTCATAACTCTCTTTGTTGACCGCCGATCATAGTGTCTACAATTTTCGGCCAACTCCGAGATAAGATTCCTAGCTTGAGAAGGAGTTTTGTTGACTATTCCTCCTCCACATGCAGCATTGATCATCCGTCTATCATCATCGCAAAGACCATCATAAAAGTAAAGGATGAGGCTTGCTCCGAGTAGCCGTGATACGGACAGCTCGCACAGAGTTTCTTGAATCGTTCCCAGAATTCGTAGAACGATTCATCATCTTTTTGCTCCACATTGCTGATTTGTTTCTTTAAAGATGAGGAGATGGAGGCGGGATAATACCTTTCGAGGAAGCTCTTCTTCATGGCCGCCCAAGTGTCTATGCTTCCCGAGGGAAGATAGAATAGCCAATCTTTGGCGGTGTCTTTGAGGGAGAATGGGAAAGCCCTCAACTTAATTTGCTCCTCGATAACACCGTTCGGGCACATGCTTGTGCAAACGATGTGGAACTCCGAAAGATGTTTATTCGGATCCTCTCCTCTTAGCCCGTGGAAAGATGGAAGTAGATGTATGAGTCCGGATTTCATGTTTCAAGAGCCATTGATATTGACTCCTCGGACTCGCTAGATTGAGAACTAGCACTTGAGGATTCCCCCGAGTCGGTATTTGAGAATTTATTCTTTAACCGCTCGAGAACTTTTTCTATTTTGGGGTTTGTTTGGTAGGTGAGTTGGTTTATGGATCGGGTTTTTACCATATACTCAAACAAAGCTCAGCAAAAATAGAAAACTTTATATTATTATTTTTTTTTCTTGAAATAAAATAAAAAGAAAAATTAATTGCCTTTCCCCGGCAACGGCGCCAAATTTGACGAGCACTTTGTCACGGTGCGTCAAAATAAATTCAATACTAAACACCTATACGTAGTATAGCGTAGTAGAATTCGTATCCACAGGGAAAGGAATAATTCTCTTTTTATGAAACTTAGTAAATAAAAGAGGGGATTTGGTTTTGAGTGATTTAATTCAATTAAGAAACTAAGATGAACAACCTATATGTGTTTAATTCAAGAATAAAAGGGACTTGGCTTTGCTACTTTCCACTTGTTGATATATTTTAGTCGATCCTTGTTATATCTATAACTTATCCCCTCTCGAATACTCAATCGATGAGTATCTCCAATTCATCGAGGGTAGTTATTAACAACGACCGTTCATTAATAACCCTTACTATTAATCAAATATAGAACAACGCCGTATACCGATATAATAGTAGCATTCAATCTTTTTAACTCCTTGATGAAATCAATTGAGATTGATAACCTTAACACAACGGTTTCGGTTTAACCAACAAAATTAATCCCTCTTAAGTCTATTAACCACGACCGTGCATTAATAAACTGAAGTTACTTACTTGTGAAACCACCAACGATTAACCATCGGTTCGTTGATCGTTTCTAGTAGTAATTAATGTCGGAACGTTAACTAATCGTCACTTAGCAACCCTCCAACATTAATATAGAATGAGATTAAGGGAAGAATTAATAATCAAGAGAAGAAGTTAAGAAAATAACTCACAACTTTAATAATCAACAAGCTTCAAGAGCAAAACCAAGAATGGAAGTTTAGCTCCTCATTTGGAGGCTAAACATAGCTAGAAAAATATAAAGAAATGCTATTCTAAACTGAGCTAAAGAGAATGGAAGAAGGGATGATGAAATGTGAAGGAAAATGGGGCTATCTATAGGTGTTTTCAACACCTAATGCCGGATATCCGACCGGGTATTTTGACATACCCGACCGGGTATTTACCTAATCAAATATTTTCCCATGTTTTTGTGTCTTCTGCACGTCCTTTGGTCCGAAATCACAGAATACCCGACCGGGTATATGGAATACCCGACCGGGTATTTGCTAGTTTGCAGCAGTTTCCTTTGTCACTTCATACCCGGCCGGGTAAAATCCATACCCGACCGGGTTTTTGCACAAAACTCAGGTTTCTTCATCCTTTTTGCTTCCAAACCTATCCTAAACTTAAAACCAAACTAACTACAACTTACAACAAACAATAAAATGTTAGAAATATGATTATAATCAAATGTAAACTAACAACTATAAATTTGCACAATACTAGTAAATAGATATTACAAATGATAATAAAAATGTACACTTAGGCACTAACAACTAGTGCCTATCACATGTCCCAATGGCTTAGTAAACCCAACTAAGTCTACCCAAGGGACAAAGCCGAGAGTAAGTGAGTGAGCGAGTGAGTGAGTGAACATTATGAGCGTTAGGAAGCAGAAGGCTCAAATGAGCAAGAAAATAATAATCAATGATAAGTCTGCTACCTTAACTGCCTGCTATCAATTGAACATTTACTCCTAGCCACTCAAATACTCTGGACGATCCCCATAGGTTCAGGACTGATTTAATCAGATCCCGGGTAGAAGTCACTGCATCTTGTCCAACAGTGCATGCTTAACCCTACCCAAGACCACTAACTTGTCTCCCAATAGACAGGTGTTTAATCAAATTTCACGGGGAACCTCGTCTCTCATTAATATCTCCTTCCGAGGCAAATAATACTAACTATAGTGGCCTCAGCCCCATGCCACTAAACTTTCATTGATCACGTCGTGTCTAATTACCTCACTCCCAAATGTTTTGAATTTTCTAGGACACAAACGCACTTTTAGAGTCAGTTGTTGGTCTTCATGACCCGCGAGAACTTCCATAGGACTCATCTATTACAGATGTAGACCAATGATTGGAAGGAAGTCCTGCTGTTGCAACATAAGAATCACCAATATTTTCAGGTCATTGCTTTAGAGTTTATCTTTATAGTGATGATAACGAGTGTCTACATGACCTCAGGGGGCTACAAGTTTCTCAATGCTAATCTTTATGATCATGCAATAACAACCAGAGTGACATCTATTCAGATGTTTCACAATGACTGGTTGGAAGTCCTGTTAGAGCTTTAATGTTTCTATCATTTTATACAGGCCACACATCAGTGTTTACATTGATGTTGTGATAACGGAACACCTCAGTGTTTCCAGTTTTATCCCTTTAACTTTCTGTTTGTTTTTTATGTTTTATTTCCCAGTTCGAATAAAATAATAAAGGCATGACGCCCCGATTCATCAGATCGTCATGAGGGGGAGAGTGGTTCACATGCTGTTAACTCTCAACAAATCATTCTCGGACACTTCTCTCCTCCAATACTTTCTCTACTATCTCTATCAAAGGCTTCGAATCAAATGGACAGCTACGTTCACAAGTCAACCATCATTTTCCGATGTGCCACCGACTAGGTCTCCTCAAACGCATTCACTTCAAATAGTCAAAAAGACTACATTGTGGAGGAGACGGAGGTCAGATACTCATGTACTGAAGATGAATCCCGTGCGTGCCTGAAAATTATCAGAGCATTCATTCTAAAGGCGCCTTCAGACTTCATTCAAGCTGATCAAGAGCTACTTCTGGAAGGCAAGAATTACAAGCAAAAGATTCCTCAACTCTCGGCATCAAAGATCAAATTGAAAAGAAGACATCAAAGGGGAGATTGCAAGGATTTCTTCATAAAGCCTTCTCAAGAAGTCAAGTTCAAAGACAAAGGAAGCTGAATAACAATAAAGACAAAGATATTTGCACTGCAATGTTGATTCAACACGATTGAACACCAAGGGGGAGATTGTTGGGAATAATTTATGGTGACCAATCTAATTAATTAAATATCTTTTTATTTGTGTAGTTATTAATTAAATGTATAATATGGGCCACAAATGTATACCAGCCCATTAGCTTCTTTGTAACCCATAAGTTAGCCTTCCTCTCCTATAAAAGGAAGCTAACTTATGGAAAACTGAAGGCATGGTATACCAGATTCGTCGATTATTTCGATATTCTTCTATCTGCTTCTTCTTCACTTCATATGATTGTTAGAAATTGGGACTATCAGAAAGGTGTAATTAAGTGATACAAATAGAATTCACACATTGTTTTTTTTATTTTGTGCTATCAAAAAGGCCTTGTGATGCTTCTATGTGCTTTGACCTCACCTCTTTGCATTTGTGGAATGTGTTCATGAAAATGTTTTGGGGCATGAGAGACAGACTTATGTTGATCCCTTTGCTCAAAGGGATGTCTGAAACTCTTAAAAGGTACAATTTCCCCTTTTGTGCCAACATGTCATGTAAGTTTGTGGTTTACATCTTTAATTTGTTTTCTCTACTGTATAATAGCTGCTTTACAGTATGTCATACTCTTGACAAAGCTTTTTGAGAAGCTATAAAAACACATGCACCTCTGTTGATTACATCTATGTTTGTTCTCTTTCACTTCGAAATGAGAAAACGTAAATAGTTGGTCTTCGCTAGAGTACTTACTACTTTGAGAAAGTTTTAATGGGGTCGGTGACTCAAGGTGCTCATTCAAAATTAATCTTTTCAATGTCTACTGATTGTAGTTCTCGAAGTTCGTATATAGTAAGCTTTTTTCAATAAGAAAAAGTAATTGACGATTACATTTACTTAAGAGATGTTCACATAAATATGATTAAAGGAGAAGTGAAGGTACACATGTTACTACTTTTTCCTTTTTTTTCTTTTTTTTTTCTCTTTTTTCTAGAGTGGTACACATGTTACTGCTCTTGAAATAATTTTTAAAATAAGTGTATATGTCACATCGAATATGTCACATACTTCTAGTGATAGCCCGTGTCAACCCTCCAAAAGAGTTCACTAGGAGTAATATTTTAGTCATTAATCCATTTAAAAAACAAAAGTGGTATTTTAAGGTGTAGTAGAGTAGTATAAATTAAATTTTCATTTGTTCTTATTTTTAAAGTAAAAAGCCATCCTCTCATTAATTCAACAATCATTCGCCAAAAGGCTACAGTACAGCTCAGTGCTACATCAAAAATAACTCTACCGTCCTCGTGAGAAAGGCCTGCCCTTGCTATCGCGTGAGCAACTCCATTCGCAGGACGTTTACAAAAACTGACTGAATAATTAATTTTAGTGTGAAGCAACTATCTAACATCCTCCACAATATTATCAAAATAAGAAGCTCCCATATCTTCGCCTATTTTGGAATAAACAAGAAGAGCGTTTGTCTGAACTTCCGCTCTTGCCCATCCTTTCTCCTTAGACCACTTTATTGCCTCCCGCACGCCCAACTCTTCTGTCGTATCGACCGACCAGATTATGTCCACGTCTCGCTCCCACCATGAAAAAAGGTACCTTTGTCATCGCGAACAACCCATCCCCATGACCTCGTGCCTCTCCTATCATCCAAAGCTCCAACATTGATCTTAATTACTCCCATAGCCGGTTTGCTCCATCTTGGCCGAGCATCCCTAGCCTGAGGCAGCTGCCCATCAACTTCCTGAGCCGTCCTCCATCTATGCATTGTAGCAGCACCTGCAGCAATAACTTGATCAAAATTAGACTGATCTCCCCTCCAAACAACATCATTCCTTGCCTTCCAAATTCTCCAAAGCGTGGAGATCAAAACACAAAGCTTTTCCTCGGACAATCTATCAAAAACGAATTGTACCCACTCCGACATTGAAGTGTATTGCTGCTGAAAATTAAGCCCCAACTTAGCCCAGAGCTCAGTGATGATGCTGCAGTTGTTAGAAAAATGCAACGTGGACTCGGACTCACTATTGCATACCTGGCACTCGCTTGGAACATCCACCCTTCTTCGTCTTAAATTCTCTGTTGTAGGTAACACTTTGGTCATAACTTGCCAGAAAAAAAGCTTCATTTTAGGTTAGATAAAATAGCCCCACATTTTGGTCCATCCCAACCAATACCCTTCTCGACGATCTCCTTTCAACTTCATATATGCACTTTTTACGGAGTAAGTTCCTTTTGGTTCACCGAGCCAGTAGAACCCATTTGCACAATCCTGATGATTAATAGGTATACTACAAATAGCCGCCTTCTCCTCTACCGAAAAGAGTTGACTCAGTCTCTCCTAATTCCACCTGGATTTATCCTCCTTAATTAGTGCCGCCACATTCATATCATATACCCCCTTCGTCTTTGGGGAAGAAATTATGCCACCACCCGTTGAAGGCACCCAGTTATCATGCCAAACAGAGATATTCTGCCCATTGCCTACTTTCCTATGAGTACCTTCCCTTACCACCCCTTGAGCCTCCAAAATACTCCTCCATATAAAGGAAGGGTTATTTCCAAGCCTAACATTCAGAAACTATGAATTTGGAAAGTACTTAGCTTTGAAAATTCTACTTACTGTCGAGCTTCCCCAAAATGGCTATATTAAACTCCTGCAAAGATCTGTACCCTAAGCCCCCTTTTTGCTTTGGGATACCCAGCTTTTCCATCAAATCCCATGCGGCGTCCATTCTTTACCTTTTCACCAGTAGCCATTCATTGTTCTTTCTATTTCCGAACATAAATCCAAAGGTAACAAAAAAATATTCATAGCATAGGAAGGGATAGCTTGAATCACATTTGTTAGCATCACCTCTCTGCCCGCCTTTGAAGGAAATTTGTTATTCCAGCTTTGAATTTTTTCAGAACACGCTCCCTCAAAAAGGCCAAAATTTCCGACCTACGTCTGCTAATTAAAGTTGGCAGCCATAAGTATCGGATATCATCCCCCTCTCGAGCTACATCAAGCAAATTGCAAATATTAGCTTTAACTTGCTTAGGAACATTTCGGCAAAAAGAAACATCTGATGTTGTGAAATTAATTTTTTGTCCAGATTCAAGCGCATAGGTGCTAAGTAATTCTTTCATCTCACTGCATTCTTCCACATTTGCCCTGAAAAAGAGGAAGCTATCATCGGCAAGAAATAGGTGTGACACCCTCCGAGCACCCCTAGCAAACTATATTCCATGAATTTTACTCATACTCTCCTTTCACCGGAATAATAGACTTAGCTCTTCAGCCACGAGAATAAATAAATAAGGGGATAAGTGATCCCCCAAACGTAGCCCACGCTTAGGGGTAATCAGTCCCAACACACTATTATCAAAAGGAACTAAGTAGTTCACATTGGATACATACATTAGCTAAGAATTTCCATTTCACTCTATCGTAAGCCTTACTCATGTGAAGCTTGAGAGCCACAAACCCCTCCTTCCCTTTTGTCTTGCGCTTACTTAAGATAATAATGAGTCCCAAATGTAACCATAATAATATCAACAATAGATCGATCTGGTAGAAAAGCACTTTGATTGACCGAGACCAGAGAGTTTAGAATACCTTTTAAGCGGTTGGCCATCACTTTTGCAAAAATTTTATAAATTACCAAGCATAGAGCTATAGGTTCACCACTCTCCCAAGTTCACCGGTTTATCTTTGTTAGTGGCATTTACCTCCCTCGTTATCCTTTTAGTTTCAAAAATTCTCTTGCAAAATGCCCACTACATCAGCACCCACTGTATTCCAGTAGTGCTGAAAGAAACCCGGATTATGCCCATCAGGACCTGGCGCTTTCTCAGGATGCATAACAAAGGCTGCTTTCTTAACTTCTTGATCTGTTATCGGGCGAAATAAAATGTCATTGTAATTCTGAGGGACCGTCGCTAAGCCCTGTAGAACATCAACCTCCATACTTCCTCCTCCTGAAGAAAATAGCTCTGTAAAATAGTCAAAAATCATATTGCCCCGATGATTCTTCTCTGTTTGACATCCCCTTCTTTTAGCCAAAATTCCTTCGTGGGCCGTCTCCAAAAGGTATTTTTCTGATGAAGTAGCTCCATTAAAGTAGTTTTCACTCTATGGAATTCTGCCTGGCCTCCCCGCCCACCCGCGCTTTGCAAGTATGCCAATCTGTGCTTGCACGCATCCACTCTTGATTGGAATCCCATCGTATGTTTCCTACTCCATTTCTCAAGCTCGTGGCTGCACCCTTTTATCCTTTCCCACACCTCAATTTGCCTTTATTAATTTGGAAGCAAAGAGACAAATCTGCACTCTCACTTTCTTATTCTACATGAGTAGCATGCATGTGAATATATAGGAGCTTACAATGTAACGGCTATAAGATAGAGCTAGAACCAAGAATTCAGATGCAATGAATCTAATCTAATAATTGAATGTAAATACAAAATAATGAATAATGTTTAATTGAATGTAGCAGCTTACGTTTCTTACTCCATTTCTCAAGCTCGTGGCTGCACCCTTTTATCCTTTCCCACACCTCAATTTGACTTTCATTCCTCCAGGACCGTTGCACCACCTCCCTGCAAACTTCCTCTCTGAGCCAAAAGTTTTCAAACTTAAAAGTTTTCCTTCGAAATTGGCTGCCAGCTGCCTTTGGTCCAGGGGCGGCTTTGAGGGGCAGTTGGGCAGGCAACTGCCTTGGGCCTCAACTACCAAGGGGGCCTCCAAAAAATTCTACTCCGGTATTAGTTTTAGGTGTTATTCGCAGACCGTCAATACACCAAGCGACAACTGTAAGCAGAAATCAGATTTATAGTTTACTTTTGACTATCCGTTCTTCATCAAAGTTGTATCTAATGAAGTCTTCTATCCAACACAACTTGCAAAACTGGATTTGAATCATCCAATAAAAATATATGAATAAAATGATGGAAGGTCGCATTCTGAAATCTCAACAGAGATTGTCTGACTTCATCGTCTGTTTTCACCTTGCTTCTCTCAGATTCTCACAATGGTATCTTCATATGATTTGTAGCCCTTGAAGTTGGCTTTCATATGAAACTTGAATCATGTTTTTTGGATGTTCCTAAGAAAAGATATGCTTGAACGATTGACTGAACGTCATCCTGGCCGTTGTTTTCAAGCTCTATTCGTCTTCTTTTGATCCCGTAGCCAATTCTAGAGCTCTTTTGTCTTCAAAACTTTGTATTTAACACCTCACTGATCTCCAATGCTCCTAATCTACTCTAAAATGCTTCTCAACTCGTCCCTATTGCTTCTCAAACACCGGTGTCAGGCTCAAATTCCCTGATTTTGACTCCAAAAATACCAAAACTCGAACCAATGGCCGGTAAATATGACTTGAGCTTAAAATTGAGACTTATGACACCTTAAAGTTAGGAAAAAACTATCAAAATCTGATCTCAACACGCATCAACGTCCAACACAAACCGCTAATCGGCTACTGTATATATGCCTCACTGCCCGCCGTCGACATGGGTCCTTGGTTAGTGAATCAACTAAGACTCTTCAGCTCTTCTCTCTGAGTCTTGTTCTTGAAGTCTCTTAATACTTTTACAAGTACAAGTTTGCCTTGTGTTTTGAATAAGTTTGCATTTTAAAATTTATCCTTTTGAATATTACAAACATTATATCGTGGACTTTGAATATGCTTTTTTTCATAAGGCGGTTTTTATTCAATTTATCTGATTTTAAAAGTGATTTGTACATAGTAAATATTTTTCGTCTGGGGCCTCCAAAATGCTCAAGCCGCCTCTGCTTTGGTCGAACCAATAGCATGAGATGATCACTCGAGGGAGCTTCCAACGATGTAGCATATGCCCCATTAAACAAATCCAGCCACCCTTCGTTAACCAATAAGCGATCAAGTTTTTCTTCGAGCCACCAGTCCGTTCCCCGTCCTCGTTTCCAAGTACATTGGTACCCTTCAAACTGCAGATTGCGTAGACCACATCCCCAAATGGCATCACGAAAGCCTTGCATAAGCCAGTTAGGTTGTGGTAGCTGGCTTCTTCTTTCTCTGTCGAACATATCATTGAAGTCTCCTGCCACAAGCCAAGGCTTGTCAAACTGATGAGATAGACTAGGTAGCATACTCCACGATTCACGCCTTCTATTCTTTTACGGGCAACCATAGAAGCCGGTAAAACGCCATTCTGGCTCCCCTTCCTCTATGCACAGTAAACAATCAATACGAGCTCGCATACACCTGTAATTTCACATAATCACGCCAGAGAAGGCATAACCCTCCACGTGTGTTTGGGAGTTGGGTTTTGGGAGAGGGGAAGGTTAACGGGGTTTATGAACCTCATTTTCATGTTTGGCATGGTTTTGGAGGGATTTTGTATCTTTCAAAACACTCCAAATGCTTAATTTTTAAGTTCCTTCAATTTAGAAGGTTTTGGAGTATAATTAACAAGATGCTAATTTAAGCTAAATTAAAAATGAATATTAGCTTAATGATTTGAATTCGTCATATCTCAAAGTGATTTTAATTATAATTTCTTCAAAAACACTCTTCTTCCAATTTTATTACTCCCAAATACCAAGAAGGGCTTCCTCACCTTCCCCTCCCTTTCCCCTACAACAACATACCTGCAAAGACTTCCCTTCCCCTACCTTCCAAACTTGCAAACATACCGTAAGAGCCTAAGACCAACGCTTTCAACTAAGGTTGCACAAGAATAACCCGAACACACATAACCCGCCCGACCCGACATATTTAATCGGGTATTTGATTTAAAAATATATTCATGGGTTAAAGATGTACGAACCCGCACCTGATGGGTAGGGTTGCGGAATTGAAATCTCAAACCCGATAGTAACGAACCCGACCGAATGTTCATTTTGCTATCATTATTCTACAATGTTTTCTTGGATAATTTAAATTTAAGACAAATTTGATTGATGGAGTATATGGCCCAGAAACCCCCGGCCCATAGACTCCCACTACTATAGCGAAGGCCCAATAGGCCCGGGAAGCACAGCAGGCCCAAATCACAGTGCCCCAAGTGCCAAACAGCCCATGACGAACACTGGGGTGCCTTCGGCCCCCTGGCCGAAGGCTCATAAACGTACACTACAACTTCTTTAAAGCACTCAAAATGTCTGGGAGAAAGCGGCGAAAACAGTAGCCCTCAGTACCTAGAGCCCTCGGCACCTGGAGGCCCCCGGGATGAAGACCCTTCGGCCAATCATCTACGGCCGAAGGCATCACCTCGACAGAATCTCCCACCCACATGCGCCGGATCAACGTCCTGAGTACAAACGTCACATCCAACCACCGCATTTAATGCGGCCACATGCGAGTGCCAGTGCCACCCCGTTGAGGTGACCCCTCGACTACCAGAATGATGACATGTGTCCCTATCTGGCATTTATTGCTACTATAAATAGCACCCCTTTCTCCATTTGTAATCCAGGCTCAATACGCTCAACACTTTCTCAGCAATACATATTCTCTCTCTTACTTTTGCTCTGACTTCTCTCTAGTTACTCCTCGTAGTAACCCCTCGGATAGATACCCTCCCCGGGTACACTTATCCATCATTTGGTGCTCTCGTTGAGAGCTCAAACAATCAAGTAAGAAACCCTCCCCTTCAGCTAAAAACACCTACCAAAATGGGAAGAACCACCCGTGCTCAGTCCAAGAACCTTGAGGACAACAACCTGGCCCTCGGTGAAGTCAACGCCCCCGGAGCCTCTAACAAGGCTCCCGAGGGCGGGGTCATCACTGAGTTGGAACAGGCTGTTGTTGACCTGCGCCTTCAGCTCCAGCAAAACGCTCCTGATGCCCACCTTGGCATCGAAACTCGAAGGAGAGACCGGAGCGAGAATCAAGTGAGCCCTCCGGTTCTCACTATCGACGTACAGTCGGCATTCTCTGCCTTCATCCAGACACTCACTCAAAACCCAGGGGCTTTCGGCACTTTGGTGCCCCTTCAACCGCAAGTCGGGGAGAACACTGTTCTTCACCCACGGCCACCCCCCTTCGTGAACCCTACCCCTCGAGTGGGGAACGACGAAGGGGTCGTAGCTCAACACACCGCCTCCCAGGAGGTCCAATCCCGGGACCAACGCGGTGCAAACAAGGAAAGGCCTCGGGCCTCAGCCCTCGAGAGGCTCGGAGGAGCGCAAGACCGCCGGGGGATCCAAGACCGCCTCAGTGGAAAGGCATCCCAAAGACCCCAAGAGAGTGGGGGATCCGTCTCAAGGGCAGACGAGAGGCGTCCCCATCAGGACAAAGGCAAGGCACCACTTCATGCCGTTTACGCAAGGCATCAAATCAATCAGGCCCACTCGGCACGTGTTCGTTCGCAGGTGGCAGAGGCCCTCCCGAAGGATCCCAGGGACAAAATCATTGCGGCCCTCCAGCGCCGGCTTGATGAGATGGAGGCCCATCGGGCACATACCGCCGTCACCACCCCTCATGCAGATCCCAAATATGAGGCCATGTTGACGAAAATGGAGGAAATGCAAAAAAGAATAGCCGAAGGCTCCGGGGAACTCGTCATCCAACTCCGGACTAGGACGCCATTCACCCCAAGGGTATTGGCGGCCCGAATCCCGGAAAAATACCGGGGGCAACCCATCAGGCCCTACGAAGGGAAAACGGACCCTCAAGAGCATTACAGTCTATATCAGAACAACATGATGATGGTGGGGGCATCAGACGAATATTTGTGTCGTTGGTTCCTCTCCACCTTAGAGGGACCAGCGTACGAATGGTTCAACCGATTGCCCGAAGGCTGCATCGATTCGTGGAAAGAACTTTCCCAACGCTTCTTGACGCAATTTGCAGGGAGGCGCCGCTCAAGAAAACACTTCTCCCACTTGCTGACAGTGAGGCAAAGGAAAGAAGAGACCCTTTGGGACTTCTTGGAACGCTGGAGGACGGAGGCGGACAAAGTTGATGGCGCTGACGATGGGACCCTCCTGGCTCTCCTTCAGACAGTCCTTCACCCCGGGAACTTTTCAAGGAGCCTCATCATCGAACCTCCCCACGATTACATAAGGGCCCTGCAGCGGGGGGACCGGTACGCCGAGGCCGAGGAGGTGGAAAAGTGCCATCACAACCCCGATCAGTAACGCCCTCGGCCAGATGACAAGGGCAACCGGGGGCCGGGGACTCCCCATAATCAATGCAAGGTTGCGGCATCCCCCAGTGATCGCCCCCGACATGGCCAAGCCAAGCCCGGGGGAGGTTACAAGGGAAACTCGAAGGCTTGGGCCCAGCCCATTCTTTTGGAGCACCCTCGGACTCCCTTGACGCACCCCGTCAGTGTCATCCTAGACTTCGCCGAGGA